AAAGAAAATTAATAAAATAATTTTACCCTAGATAGAGTTTTAAATATAGAATATTAGTACAATTTTTGAAACTTAAACCTAATTGCGAAATATCTGATGGCATCAGTTTATTACACCTTTTAATCATTATAGTTCAAATGTTTTATTTAGACTTAACAAAATTTTTAATTTAAAATGTAAGTAAAAATATTTAATATAAAGTATTATTCAATAAATAAATATCTCTTCAATAAAATTATGTGCAAAAAAAAATATCATGATACAATTAATTAAGACAGTTATGAAATATTATTTTAAAAAAAGTTTTTGCTTATATTTAATGATTTATTTAAAAAATTAAATAAACAAAATTTACGCTAACTAGAGTGTCAAATTTGACAGATTAGAGCAGTTTGATAGAGAAAAAATTAATCCTTATAGTCCATTTATACCGATTTAATTAGAACTTTAGAAAAATTATTGAAAAAATTATTTTTTGTAATTTTATTTGAGTTTTTAAATAGAATTATTTATTTTACTAAAGATCTAGAGTTAAACTAGATATATCAGTGGTCGATAATTCATAGCCTAGCCTTAATGCAAACTCATCGTCAATTTAATTTGAACTTTTAAAATAAAAGGTATAATTTTAAGTTAATTAGTAATCATGAAGATGAAAATAAATTTAAAATTTAAGAATTAGCTAAAAAATGATCGAAAAAAAATTATTGGTCTAATAATAAATAAGGCAAGTAAGTTAAACACAAAAACTAATTTATGTAATGTTTGTTTTTACATAGGAAAAACTATTAAATAAATAAATAAATATACTATTTTACCCTTAGCCTATAGCATGAAGAAGATAATAATTTTTATGTGTATTTAAGAATGAAGGTTTTATGGTATTTAAACAAAATAATGTTAATGTATTTATTTATAGCTTATAAAGGAATTAAATTCTAATATCAGAAACTAAATAGGTAAATATCATATTTTAAAATAAAACAAGAAAAATTTTTAATAGTAAACTTGAACTATAAATTAAAAAATAATTGATTTAAAGTTTCATAAATTTCAGCTTTAATATATTAGATATTTTTTAATGATTTTTATAAAGTTTAAATTTTATGTAATAAAATATCTTTAATATGATTTTAGATGACAAAGTGAGTATTAATTACAATATGTTTGTTAACTTTCAATTCTATAAAAATATATATAGTTTAACATATTTTGAGTGAGAAGATGATAACAGTTTTTATACGTATTTAAGAAAGAGAGTTTTATTGTAGTAAAACAA